CAGTGACACTAAAGGTAGAACAGTTGACATTCATAATCTACAAGAAGGAACGAAAGAACGCCTGAATGGTAAATATGAAGGTAAATATAAAAGACTCACTTCTCTCCCAATTTCTTTAAAAACCTTATGACTGTTTAAAGCAAAGAAGAGATCTATATTTTGGGATTAATATATGTAGGCACATCATATATATGGTAACTATAGCATAAGAGGCAGCTAGGGAGTGGTAAATGGATCTCTTCGCTTGTGAGTCTTTTAAATATTGAAGTAATAAGATAGTAACTCTAAGATGTTGAGAGATTAAGGATATATGGTAATACTTAAGGCAAGCACAATATAAAAATAATGCAAAGAGTTACCACTAAAAATCTGGGCACAAATAAATGGACTTCTATCTAATCCAAAAGCAGGGAGGAGAGGACACAAGTGTTCGTGCAGACAAATCTTCCAAGGAGCTGGAAAGCTCAAAGACCTGTTTTTGGTAGTTGGGAACTTTGGTGTTTTGATGGCTGTCTGGAAATGGATCCTCTGAAGAGTTCGTAGAATTGTTCTGCAGATTATGCCATGTGCTTTGAAACATTAAGGTCCAGTATTTTTTGCAAATAGCTGAAAAATGAAACAATGCAAGTGGTCATCCACGGATGATGAATGAAGAGAACGAGGCCTATCCATGCAATGGAATAGTACTCAGCCATAAAAAGAAACGAAGTTATGATACGTAACTATAACCTGGAGGAAACTTGAAAGTACTATTTTAAGTGAGATAAGCCAGATGTGAAGGACAAATAATACGATTCCAGTTACATGAGGTATCCAGAATAGGCAAAATCAAAGAGAAAATGGCCCTGGCGGGTGTGGCTCAGTGGATTGAATGCTGGCCTGCGAACCAAGGTTGCCAGTACGATTTCCCAGTCAGGGCACATGCCGAGGTTGCCAGCCAGGTCCCCAGAAGGGGACACATGAGAGGCAACCACACGCTGATGTTTCCCCCTCTCCCTCACCTCTTTCTCTAAAAATATTTAAAAAAAAAAAGGTACTTAAAACAGGGTACCAGGGTGGGGGTGACGGGGAATGGGAAGTTATTAATTTGGGTTGATAAAAGTTCTAGAAAGTGTTGATGGTTGCATTACATTATGAATGTACTTAGTGTCATTGAATTGTAAACCTAAAAATGGTTCAAATGATGCCCTGGCTGGTGTGGCTTCTTGGATTGAGTGCTGACCTGCGAACCTAAAGGCCGCAGGTTCGATTCCCGGTCAGGGCATGTGCCTGGATTGCAGGCCAGGTCCCCAGTCGGGGACAAGCAAGAGGCAACCAGTTGCTGTATCTCACACATTGATGTTTTTCTCCCTCTCTTCTTCCCTTCTCTCTCTAAAGATAAAATCTTTTTTTAAAAAGTGGTTAAAATGATATTTTATGTATATTTCACCAATATATATATAACATTGAGAATAAAAAGGATTGCAGTGTACGCTCAGTCCTTTGTTCACTTTCACACCTTGCCAAGGTACCTTGCCATGTTCATAATTAAAAATGGAAATAGCTGCATGACTTTCTAAACTTCATGTGGATCATAATGGAATTTATTCACTCTGTTGATCATTTAGGTCCTTTTTTTTAAAGTGTTTTGCTCTTGGCTGCTTACTGGCCTTTGCTTTTTGAATGGTTTCTGCCCTAGTATACTTACGGCGCTGGCCCTTGGCTGGCTCCTCCATCCTCCTTTCCCACTGGCTCAGGAACCTTTTGAAGGGCATATTTGATCTTTTGTGTCTTGCCCACAGGCATGGTTTTACCATGTGACCTGATCCTCTGACCCGTTGACCCAAGGAGGTGAGTTGTAACCTGGAGCCAGCCATTGCTCTTTGGAGAAACTGAAAATAAGAAAACATTCCTAGGTAGGTGTGGGGAGCCAAGCAGAAAGCCACCCATGCTGGGGGCTGAGGCCAGCATTTTGGGTCATTGATGTGCTGATGAGCCAGCTGAGAAAGTGTGCAGAGAGGTAAGAGTGGAGGATGGTGCAGAGCAGTGGAGAGGAGAGCTCAGGAGGCTCTGAGAGCTTGGATTCTCAGTTTTCTGATTCCTTAATGTGATAAATTTACACTGGCTCACACGGGGCTCCTGGGAAGCCACACACACGCTTCCATGTCTCCAGATAAGAGGTCTGGTCCAGGGGGCACAGAGGGGAGCCCGTTGGGCAGAGATGAGTGCTGCCGTCGGCCCAGACTGACAGCAAGGACCCTGAGGGGGAGCCTTTGGAATCTTTCCTGGCAGAGCAGGACCTTGGTAGTCCTCGGAGTGTGGGGGCAAGTGGGACTGAGCCTGCAAGGAACTTGGTAGGGTCTGAGAATCTTGTTAGGCCTGGCACCACCATCTGCCTCATCCAGCAGCATATCATAGAAATTAAAAGTATGGATTCTGAAGCCTCAAGACTTGGGTTCAAATCCCAACTCAACCCCTTAATTATCCTTGAGTATGCTATTCTGTCCCTCAGTTTCCCCGTCTATAAAGTGGGGATTAAAACTATCTTATGTGAGGATTGAGGACGCTCAGAGCAATCTACGTCTCTGAGCTCTTATATGTGTATTGTTGCCAGTAATACTGTAATGTTGTCATCTTCTCTCAGGTCCCTGTTACTTTCTTAGAGTTTTTAAGGATTCCCTGTGGAAATAGCACAGGAACTAATTACCTGCCCCCAACTGGTCCTCTCGTTTTCCTGCTCGGGGGCAGATGTGTGGGGAGGCTGCCTTCACTGTGGTGGAATATTTGCGGGGGAGGGGGCAGTCTCGGGAGGCGGCTGCGCACCACAGCCTCTGTGCTGGAGCACACTGGGGTGTCGGGGGCTGCTCCAGGGTGTCCTGAACAAGCGTTGCCCCGGCCAGGTCTCAGTGTCCACAGAGGGTGGTGTCACTCCCGGAAACCACGTGTGCCCGCCCCCTGCTCCTCGCCTGTCCCTGCCTCAGGCAGCTCAGGCCTGAACTCAGCCTGCTGTCAGTCGTGCCGTCAGTGCGCCATCTCGTTTGGCGTCCATCTGTAGCCTTGTTCTGTGCAGTTCCCCTGGGCTGAGAGTCTCAGAGAGCCTAGCACAGTGCTGCTTCGTGCACCCAGGAAGCTTAATGGCCATGATTATAATACTGTAACATTGTATTGTAACATTACTCCACTGGACAATGAGTTGGCTTCCCCGTCCCCTTTGCTGCTGGCCCTGGATGCGGGGACATGCCCCTCCTGGTGTGCTTTGTTTCTAGCTCTCCCTTCAGCGCCTGCCTGACGCACTCTCCCTGGGGACTGGACACTACAGAAAGCTGTCTCTTTGGCCATCCTGGGCTGTCACTTCCCCTGGACCCCTGAGTGTGCCGTGGAGAGCGGTGGTGGGACTCCCTGACCCCTGCCTGTGTCTAGCTTTTCCCAGGCCCCTTCCTGCCGTCCCTTCACTTCCTTTCCTCCTCAGTCCCCTTTCTTTCTCCTCCTTTCTCCCTCTCATCCTCTCCTTTTCTCAGGATAACTCTGTGGTACGTGGGGTCCTTTCTCTTCTCTTCTGTACCCCAGGAGTCTTCGGCGCTAACAGAAGTCTCGTGCACGTATCTGGGTTTAGGCCCAATAAAATCACATACTCCAAACACATGGATTTGGCTCATTTCACACTGTCCGTGCTAGCAGCTTTCATCTATTCATTCAACAAACACTTATTAGAGGGCTACTTGGTGCTCAGTCCTGGGCTGGAGTTACTGGGGTAAATAAGAAAAATGGGTCAGGAAGGTCAGTGAAGGGAGAAAGAAATGAGCAAAAAGTGCACAAGATGATTTTGTTGGTAAGTGTCATGAAGAAAAGAAAGGATGGTGGGGGAGAAAGTGACAGGTGGTCAGGGCGGGCCTCACAAGGGGGTAACACTTGAGACCTGCATGATCGGAGTGCATCAGAGAGCCAGGCAGTGCTCTCTGTCAAAAATAACCAGGTCTGACTCTGGTTAACGTAAGCAGAAAAGGAAGGCACTGGAAGGGTATCCTATCAGGTAGTTAAGAGAATGGGTGGGACACCTGGGAGAGGAGGCACAGAGATGGTTGCTAAGGAAGGCTGGTGACCCACACCTTGACCAAAGTCATGTGTCAGCAGGCTCTGATTGGGACCCGGCTGACTTTGCTCTGGACGCTGGATACCATTTAGACTTCAAACCCTAGACTCTGGCACGCCACCATGAGCAGGACCTCCAAACAGGAGCTGATCACCTGCCCCAGACCACAGGTTTGTACTCCACTGGGTGGCCTGTTAGAGACAAAGTCAGCTCCCATCTCAATGTGGTGCGAAAGCCGGTCTTTGTAAAGTCCTTCTCTGTCTCGTCTCCTGGACCCCTGTGCGCTCTTCCCTTGCCCCACCTTGTTCCAACCTCTTGGGCCTCCTTCCTGTTCCTCAGGCACTCCAAGCCTGTCCCCACCTACAGGGGCACTGGCTGTTCCCTTCCCTTGGAATGCTCTTCCCCAGGTATTCTCATCGCTCCCCACCTCACCCTCTCCAAGTCCTAGCTTAGAAGTCATCTTGTCCATAGGCCCCTCTGATCTCCTTATTTAAATAGAGCCAGTCCAGCCCACTGTGTAACTGTGTAGGCTGTCTTGCTGATGAATCTGCCCTAGGAGCCTAGACTAGTTGTCTGGTGTTAATTTGTCACAGCCCTTTGTTGAATGGGTGCTTGATAGCATGGCATGCTGTTTCTGGTGTAAAGCCTTGGAAGGCATGAACCAACTTCTGGTTCTGTCACCCACCAGAGGTTCAACCCCGCAGTTTTCTCATCTGTAACGTGGGAGCCTACCTCAAATGGATACTTGGTGAAGAGTAAATGAGAAAACGTGCCGAATAAGCCCAGCGCCATTCTCTCATTTTTTCCTGCCCATCCATTCAAATCTAGTAAATGAGTCTCCTAAGCCAATATGATCACAATGAACGTTTCCATTTACTTTGGATTATATGTCATTATAAATATTAACAAACAAGACTTAAAAAGGACACCTTCGGGTAGGTCAGACGAAAATACAAAAATTGTGTGTGGGGCTGCAAGTCTCAGGACGATTTCTGCAGCCATCACATGGTAGCAAAACGGTGTTAAGCAGTGCACGAGTCTGTGTCGACGACAGCCAGAGTCCATGCATCGGGAGGTTCTGTCGGTTGGGAAGGAACAAAGGCCGGACATGCACGGGCCGGGAGGTGCAGTTCCTCGCTCTCGCCACTAGAGGTCAGGAGGTTACCGCTTCAGTGTTGGAAGACGGGCCCGTCAGGGATTGGCTAGTGGTGACGGTGGGTGGGGCGGAGACCAGGAAGGGAGGGGGTGGAGTTGGGTGCCGCGCATCAGGGAGACCCCCTGGTTACTGACACGTGACTTTGGAATGACTTTTTCTTTTTTATGGTGTCAAATTTCCCATCTTTGTGCGTCTAATGGACCAGAGGAAAGATGCCAGTTTGGGGTTAAAGGCAAAACTTTGCAGCTTCTCAAAGAGCCTTTTCTTTTGACAGATACAACCTGCAAGCGGTCTAGAACAGTGCCAGGGTTCTGGTGAAGGTTCTGTCACTCCCTGGGTGGCCCCTCTGTCCAAGTGCCCCATCTTCCACTTGGGCTGGCTGTGTAAAAGCCCCGCCTCCAAGCCTGCGGTCAGTTGGGACGGTCTCTCAGGGCCAAGCGCACAGCCTGGGGCAGCAGAGGGCCCTAGGCTTGGGTGCTGGGGGTCCTGGCTGTTTGTCCCAGGGGGGCTTGTTTCCCTATGTATCTCACAGCCTCTTAGAGCTTTGCCATTCAGCATTTCCACGTCTTCGCAGAGAGGCTATGAGCCTCTCCTCCGAGTGAGGCCCTCCAAAAGGCAAAGGTAAGGAGATACCCAGAGTTCACCCAGACACAAGGGTTGTGAAAATTGAAGACGGTGCATGTAAAACTCTGGACACACACACACACAGCCTTCTTAAAGATGGGAAAACCAAGGTTCTGCGACCAGCAAAGGTTGCCAGGTACAGTGTGGGGGCTGGAGTCCCGAGTTCCCTGCAAACTGGGAAAGGACTGATGGGCACTTGGTGGGAGTCACATCATCACCCCAGGCCTCAGATGGTGGTGTGCTTTGTGGTTGCAGCAGAAAGTCCAACCTCTGTGCCCCTGTGAGCCCTGCTGCTAGTATTGGTGTGGGCAGCAGGCAGGGGAGAGCGCCAGGCAGGCAGCTGGCAGGGCCTCTCGCGTGTGAGCCCAGCACCCTACTTCTCCCAGGTGTGGTGTCCGGAGCTCTGGGCTGGGAGCGGGGCAGGGGCCACGGGGCCATGGAGCCTGCTCCCCCCCAGCCGTGGTAAGGCTGCAAGGCCTCGGGCAGGTCACGCTCCCTCTCTGGGCTCTTTCCCATCAGTGCGCTGATGGGTCAAACACAGAAGTCCTTTGGTTATGCATTTGCTCCTCCAGGATTCCTGAGGGTCCCTTGGTAGGCAGGAGACATCTGGGGCTTCGGGCGCAGGCCTCAAACCTTCAACCTCACTTTGGAGACTCTGACTCGGTGCAAAGAGGCCTACCAGGCAGGGTGTCTCTCTCTCAGCTGTCCCAGAAACGGGGCCCTGGACTGCTGCGCAGTATTCCTGAGCAGGACGGCAGTGGCCGTGGGACGGCCAGGGTGCGTGGGCAACCACCTGAGGTCCCCCCACTACCCAGTCCCAAACCTGAAGGTCGGGGGAGGCAGAGCAAGGGAAGAGAAGGGGGAGGACAAGGAGGAATTTCTGCTTTTCATGCAAAACAAGGGACCCTTTTCTGTCTTGGCTCCAGCTGTCCTGGTGCTTCCTCTGGGAAGAACGAGGGGCGGGATGCATCCACCGGATTCCTCAGGAGGAGCGAGTGAGCAAAGGTGGGCGAACTGGGTCTGAGGACTGAACTTGTCCCCGCACCGTGTTTCACCACAGGGCTCCGTCACTTCCGTCACCGTCAGCCGTGAGTCCAGGCTGGCCTGGCGGCCAGGGGTGGGGAGGGAGCGGGGCTGGGTGCCATCACCCCTGGGCCCCACTCCTGTCCTCACCAACCCTGCCCCCTAGAGAAACCCCGAGTCCCCGGCTCAGTCACCGTTCCCTCCTCTGCCTGCACTGCCCTTCCCCTTTGTCCACCTCGCCACTCCACTGCCCTCCCAGGCCTTGCTGAAGCGAGGCCTCCTGGGTGAAGCCCTCCCGGCCCTCCCAGCAAGTCAGCAGACTCCAGAGCACTAGCAAGCAGGCCCGGCTGGCCTTGGCGGTCTCACTCTCCATTAAAAAGGTTTCCTGCTAGACCAGGAACACCCTGAGGGCAGGCCCAGTGTTTCATTCATCCCCAGGGGTTTACAAAATTGAGTGAAGCATTTGCCAAGTGCCCGTGTTCACTGGAGCTTCTGGGAGCTTCACTAGATTCCTGGCTCTCAGGTCAATTTTCTTCCACCTGCCCAGTAATGCCAGCGATGAACGATGCAGTCAGAGTCCTGCCCCTAATTTCCTTCCCCCGTGCCCCTCTTCCTACTGTCCCCTCAGGAGTTCTCGCCGGCCCCAGCCAGGCACCCCTGCACTCCTATTCTCGCAGCCCGGGTCCCCTGTGACTCACTGCTGACCTCTAGTAGGGCCTGCGCCTCCTGGCTGGCCCCTTCCCCGTCCCTGGGCTGGGTGCTGAGGCCAAGCCCCTCTCCTCCCACCTCTGGCCCTGTCAGGCCGCAGGGGCTGAAAGCAGGCCTGGCCCTTTGCCCTCGTTGCTCCTTGGAGTGGCCGGGTCCTCCATGGCCTCCACGCGGGGGCCGCAGCGGTTCTGTGTCCGAGCAGGTGTCCTGGATCTCCCCCAACGTGGGGGTTGAGGCCCTTGGTGGCAGCTGAGGAAGCCCAGGGCCAAGCCTGTGTTGGGCCAAGTGACAGGCAAGGACGGGTGCGGTGGCAGGCGGGGGCTGGTCAGTCGCTGAGCACAGCCCCAGGGAGTTCGTTGGTGAGTGTGTGCCAGCGTTCAATCCGCTTGTCCTTGTTCTTCAGGCAGTCGAACCAGTGCTTCAGGCGCTCGCCCTTGGCGTTGATGCCCAGAACCACGCCGCCTGCAGGAGGGGAGTCGAGAGGGCAGCCAGGGGTCTGGGGGCAGGTGCTCCCCCTGGCCCATCCCTCGGGAACCAGTGCCCCCTGCCAAACCTCTCCCCAGGTTCCAAGTGCCAAGGCCGGACCCTCCACCTCACCCACGGCGCTGAGGGTGCACAGCGGCCTTACGGCCATGCCCCACTCTTAGCCGCTACCCCAGAGCAGGGCCCGGGGACCCCGCCCTTCTAACACCAGGACAGGGCAGTGCTGGAGCAGGGCGCAGCAGTCTGTGTTAGGGGCCAAGGGAAGGGGACCAAAAAAGCAAGAAAGAGCTAAGCACGTACCACCTGTGCACGTACCACCATGGGGTTGGGGCCACGAGGGCTCAGAGCCCAGCCCCAGGCGCTGGCCGTCACCAGCCCTCTCCCCTGCTCCGCCCCGCCTCCTGTGTGACCCCCAGGCCTCCTTCCGTCTCCGGGCTTGACTCTTCCTCGGTCACGTGGAGTCAGACTGGATAATGCCTGAAGCCCCTCGTGTGGGGGCAGGTGGTCTCCGGCCCCAGATTTCCCCAGAGGCCAGGGAGGCAGGGCTGCGGTCTGATTCAGGGGCCGCCGCCCTTCCCTAAGGCCAGGACAGGCCTATGGCCAAGTGGCATTCTCTTCATGTCCTCTTACCAATGAAATCGTTGGATTTTCCAATGTCGTAATCCCAAACAGTGACCTCCAGGGTCTTCTTGGCCAGGTCCCCATGCTTAATCTCGTAACAGAACTCCTGGCCAGAAGGAGAGAGTCAGGGCCACTGCCGTGTGGCCGGGAGGGCTCTGAGGCACGGTGAGGACACCCACCGAGCGGGGGGGGCGGGGGTTGAACGGGAGGCCGCTCGGTGCCCGCTGGCGGCGGTGGTGGGCTCTCAGCCGACTCGTTCATGTACACCTGAGCGCCCGGCCCGGGCCCTGAGGGTCCCCTTCATTCCAACCCGCCTGCCCCTTTCGCCACCGAAGTCTCTCTCTCCAGATTCCCGGTAGCCTCCTCATTGCCAGAGGGACTTATATTTCACAGCCTTGCTGCGCTTGGCTTCCCTTGGGCCTGGCTCTGCTGACCGCTCCCTTCTCTGTGGAGCCGTGTCTCCCTCTGGCTTCCACGGCGCTCTGACAGCTGGCACGGCCCCTCACTCGGGCGCACCCCCTCTCCTGCCCCCGCGTTGCTCAGGCGCTGCCCGAGGCCCTGTGCTGCTCGCGTGCCGCCGGGCCTCCCCGTCTCCCTCATGCCTCCCACTCCCGCTGCCCGGGTCCCCTGCTTTCAGCTCCACCTCCAGTGCAGCCACAACACCGTCGGTTCCTCCTCTGAAGATCTTTCTAGGCTGCCCCCTCCCCTCTGTTTGCACCGCCCTGACCTGGTTCAGCCCGGCCTGAGCCTCCCCGTTGCCCCCCATGGTGGGGGGCACCTGTCACCCTGCTTCTCGCCCCACTTCCCATCCTCCAAGCTGTGACCCTTGAGAACCAGGTCCCTCCCAGTTCCATTGTCCCGGGAGGGAGGGAGAGGGTTTCCTGTGGCTTCGCCAGCCCCTTGTACCTCATTGAACTCCGGGTTCAGGGTCTTCTTCTTTACTGCTGTCTTATGTTTGGATTTCTTGTCCACATCTGGCTTCAGGTATCTGAAATGATAACCAATGGGTAGCCAGGCAGAGGGTGGAGAGAAGCTGTGGGTACAGATGGAGCCAGCAGGGCTTGGAAGAACTTTCTGTCCTTGGAGAGAGATTTATGGGTCCCCCTGCTCATCCTAACGCTCCCCAGCGCTACTTTGTGGCAATGGTGGGCGGTCACCTACAGCAGAAGAAACAAGTGGTTCCTTCGTCGCCTGGACTCCCGTTCACACGCCCTTTCCTGGAACTTACCTACCACAGAGCCCCTCCATCCCTCCAGCAAAGGGGACTTTCCTTGATTCTCTAAGTCCGATTTTCACACAGCTCACATTTCTCACCAGAAAAACGTTTTAGCAGTGTTTGCCCCCCGTTAGAACTTACATGTTTTTTAGAGCAGATTTATTGAAATCTATAAACTTCATCTTTTTAAAGTATAAAATACAGTAGTTTTTAGTAGATTCCTGGAGTTGTGCAACCATTGGCGCTACCTCATTGGGCTCTGAGGAAGGAAAAAATTCCTCTTGGGCAGCAACAGCGATGCTTCCCAAAGGGAGGGGAAGCCTGGCTTGTGAGTCAGCTCCCCGCCTGCATTCGCTCCTGCTCCTTACACTTTGATGTCTTCCTCTGAGGCTGGGGGGGCGCAGGTAGAGGGAGCTGCCCAAGGTCATAGGGCTGCTCGGCGCAGGGCCGGTATCCAGCAGCCAGGACGGAGGCTCAGAACCGCCCCTCGGCAGAGCCCCTCACCCTGTCCTTGTGTAGGTGATTGAGTAACAATCGCTAAGCCCCGGCTGAGCGTGCTCCGGGGTGAGCAGCACATCTGTCTCTCCCACCACCAGCTCCCTGGCACCCATCTCAGTGCCTGGCACTGGGTGGGCCGATAAACATCTGTTGAACGAATTACTGAATTCCTAGAAGTGAAATTACCCACTCAAAGCCAGACACCTGTCAGGTTTCTTCCTTCTTCCTGCCAACCTGTCCTCCAGAAAGGCCATACAGTTGACATGCAGTGCCCTTGACACAGCTGAGGACTGTCACCTTAAAAATCCTTGCTGGGCAAAGCTATCATTTAGAAACGAAGGGCAGATAGAGCTTCCCAGACAAGGGAAAACTGAAGTTGTTCATCATCGCCAAGCCGTTACTATATGAAATGTTAAAGGGACTTATTTAAGAAGAAGAAGATCAAAACTATGAACAATAAAATGGCAACAAATACATATCTATCAACAATTGAATCTAAAAACCATACTAAGCAAACAAGAAGAACAGAGACAGAACCATGGATACGGAGGGTGTTTCGACGGTTGTCAGAGGGAGCGGGGTGTGGGGGATGGGTGAGGCGGTGAGGAGGGAAGAAGTACAAACAGGTGGTTACAGAACAGCCACGGGGATGTAAAGTGCAGCGTAGGAAATGGAGGAGCCAAAGAACATACATGCCTGACCCATGGACATGAACAAAGGTGTGGGGATCGCCTGAGGGACTGGGGGTGCCGGGTGGAGGGGGGCAAAAGGGGAAACATGGGACAGCTGTAATAGCATAATCAATAAAATATAATTGAAAAGCAATCCTTGCTGGGGACATCAGTATCTTGGCAGAGTGAGAAGACTTTCTTGTTTTTTCCCTTAAATTTATAAGACACTGGACAACTATAACTCAACAAAGGGTCCCCCTGCTCGACACGCAAACATGCTTGAAAGATTCATGCATCAGAACATCCGACAATGGGCTCATCGGAATGAACAGGGGAGGTGGGAGTGGGGAAGGACAGGGACAGTGGCCACCCTGGCTCCAGAGGGTGGCAGCGGAGGAAAAGTGGGACTGCCGCCCTCACACTGGCTCAAAGTGGAAGGGGGGCAGCTGCAGTGTCCCCGGGGGAAAGGCGTCACCCTACCCCCTTCCCATCACGGCAGACCCTGGGAGAGGGGGCCGCGAAGCCGTAAATTAGCACAGTGGTGTCAACAGCCACCGCTGGACTGGAACTGCTGTCAGAAAGAAAGATACCCCATGTTTATGGATTGGAAGAATTAACATTATTAAAGTGGTCATATTACCTAAGGCGATCTACAGACCTAACCCCTATCAAAATCCCAATGGCGTGTTTCACAGAAATAGAACAAAAATTATTCAGATCCACAGAAGACCCTGAATAGCCAAAACAATCCTGAGGAAAAAGAACAAAGCCAGAGGTATGACACTACCTGACTTTAAACTATTCTACAAAGCTACAGTAATCAAAACAGTATAGTACTGGCAGAAAAACATACACAGACCAATGGAACAGAATTAAGAGCCCAGAAATAAACCCACATATGTGTGGGCAAATAATTATTGAAAATGTAGCCAAAAATATACAAAGGAAGGTCTCTTCAATAAATGATGTTGAAAAAACTGGAAAGTCATATGCAAAGGAATAAAACTAGACTGGTATCTGACACCATACATGAAAATTCAAAATGGCTTAAAGACTTGAATATAAGATCTGAAACAATAAAATACAAAAAAGAAAATGCAGGTACTAAATTTACGGACCTCAATCTCAGAGGAGTTTTTGTGAACTTGACCACAAAGACAAGGGAAGTAAAAGCAAAAATAAATGAATGGGACTATATCAAACTAGAATCTTCTGCACGGCAAGGAATCCATCAACAAAACAAAGTGGCAAACAACTGAATGGGAGAAGATATTTGCAAATGATCCCTCCAATAAGGGGCTAGTATCCAAAATATATAAAGTACTCATACAACTCAACAATAAAAAACAAACAACTGGAGTGAAAAAATGGGCAGAGGACCTGAGTAGACACTTTTCCAAGGAAGACATACAGATATATTTTCATGCTCAACATCACTATCATCAGGAAAATGAAAATGAAAACCACAGTGAGATACCACCTCACACCCATCAGAATGGCTATTATCGATAAGACAACAAGCGTTTTGGGGAGGATGTAGAGAAAAGGGAACCCTCGTACACTGCTGCTGGGAATGTAAATTGGTGCAGCCACTAGGGACAACAGTATGGAGGCTCCTCAAAAAATCAAAAGTAGAGCTACTCTATGACCCAACAATCCCTCTTCTGGGTATCTACCCCAAAAATTTGAAAATGGGTATTTATAAAGATATATACTCCTGTGTGTATTGCAGCATTATATACAATAGCTAAGGCATGGAAACAGCCTAAATGTCCTTCAATGAATGCTTGGATAAAGCATATTTGATATAAATATATATGTATATATGTACATATATATATATACACACATATGTGTATATAGAATGGAATACTACTCAGCCATGAAAAAGATGAAATATTGCCACTTGTGACAACACGGATGGCTGTTGACATTATTATGCTAAGTGAAATAAATCATACGGTAAAGAACAATAATGGTGTGATTTCACTCATGTGTGGGATACAAAACAAAAAGCAACATATGAACAAACAAAACAAACTCATAGATACAACAGAATAGTGGTTACCAGAGGGGATGGGGGGGGTGAGGGGGGGACAAAGGATGAAAGGGGTTAAATTACAAGGTGACAGAAGGAGACAAGAAGAGACTTCGGTGGGGGGAGCATGCAACTGAGTAAACAGATACCATATTATAAAGTTGTACACCTGTCATGTGTACAATGTTATTAACCAGTGTTACTCCAATAAACTTAATAAAAATTCCTTCCTAGTTTGAAAGGCAGAAAGTGCTATCTCACTGTTGCTTTCCTTTGCACTTACTATTTTTTGTGTTGTGATTTTTATTACATAAATAATACTGGTTCATTATAGAGACACTGCAAAATACGTATTGCTAAAAGCGGGGGGTGAGGGAAAGAAATGAAGACACATGTCCCCACGAAAACCTGTTCTCTGGCAGCTTTATACAATCACCCCAAACTGGAAACTACATGCACTTTGATGGGTGAACCGATGCGACGCCTGTGGTTTGCCCGGCCGATGGACGGCTGCTTAGCGAGAAGAAGGACTAAGCTAGTGGCCCACGTGACCACGGGGCTAAATCTCCAAAGCGTGGTGCCACGGGAAAGAAGCTAGATTCAAAAGCTGACGCATTGTGCGATTGCCTGAGGAAGTCTGGAAACAAAAACTATTGGGACAGAAAACAAGTCAGTGGTTGCCTGGCGCTGGGGGAACTTTCTGAGTCGAGAGAAGTGTTCTGTATCTTGACTGTGGTGGTAGGTAACAAGATGGACTAATACATCATTCAGACTTCAAAAGGGAGACACTCACTCTGTATGTATTTAGATAAACCTGATTTTTGAAACGGGTTTCCCTTAACCCCCTCACCCAGATACGGTGAATTTCTTCAGTTCCTTACAAGCTTCCATGCGCTTGTTTGACACTTTAACTGTTCACTGGTATTTCGTTTTCTGACTGTCCTTTGCCTGCTTGCTGTGAGGAGAAAGGCCAGGGGAGCCCCACACAGTGGGTGCGGCGTCCGTCCCTGCGTTTGGGAGTCCCTTAAAGGAAAGCTGTTCCGGGGTCCCCACGTCCTCAGTGCTGCATGGCTGGTGTCCACCTAGTGACCCATCACTGGGTCTCCGTGGCGGCCACCAGCCTCAGGGCCTGCAGCCATGATCAGCCTTCCCAGGGGTCGCCCTCTGTCCTGCCTTCAGTCCGCGCTGTCTCCCCAGCCTGGCGCTCGCTGCTGGCCTCCCTGTCGCGCTCCAGGGAGCTCCCGGGTACAACGTGTGTGGGCTAGGAGCTGGCCGTCCTGGCAACGCCCCGGAGGCCTGGCCAGTGGTTGCCGCCCCCCCCTGGCTGTTAGGACCCCCTCCTGCACTGGCCAGCAGGACTCATGGAGCATCCCCAGCAATGTCACCTCGGGTCCCTTTGGCACGGCAACTACTGCTTGCCTAAGGCCCTAGAAGAAACCAGAGGGCCAGAGAAGGGAGTCGCCAGGGTGGCACAGCAAGGCACCTGAGTTTCCCGGTTGCCCGGGTGCGATGTGGAGAGGGTAACAGCAGCGACCGCGCAGGGGCCCTGGGAGGGTCCGGGGATGCCTGGCACAGCCTGCACGCAGCAGTGACTCAGCACACGCTAGGGAAGGCTGTTACCGGCATGGCTGCCCGGCTGTTTTCCATCATACTCTGAAAAGCTGGATTTGGGGTCCATTTTCAGCCTGGGGAAATTGAGGCACGTGTCATCTGGGGTGAGGTGTGTAAAAATAAGGGTGCTGACAAAAGGCCTTGACCCATCTGACTCTGCCCCTCCGCGCCAATGCCTGGTGCTTCCCCAGCTGAATCTCTCCTCAGTTCACAGGGGCCCTCTCTCGGGACACAGGGCGCAGCCGTCGGCACACCCGGCTCCAAATCTGTTGTGGCAGGTGAGACCTTGTTTTCAGGATAACCCAGCACAGGGCCCTGCAGTTCCTGTCAACCTGGCAAGTGGCCACGGAGCCTGATTTTAAAATATCACACTATTTAGCTTTGGGCCGTGTCTCCTGCTGTAAGAGCTCTAGCATCACCGATACAGGTGGTGGCGCCGTGCCCCTCTTTCCAGTCCCTTCCCCTCCTGTCCTCCCCTGACCACCACCTGGGGCCAGGGCCCAGGCCGGCGTGGCTCGGTTGGAGGATTGTCCTGTGAACCAAAAGGTCGCCAGTTTGATTCCCCATCAGGGCACATGCCTGGGTTGCGGGTTCGATCTCCAGTCAGGGCGTGTGCAAGAGGCAACCATTTGATGCTCCTCTCCCTCTCTCGCTCTCTATCCTTTCCTCTCTCTCTAAAATCAATGAGCATGTCCTTGGGCGAGGTTTAAAAAAAAAAAGAAGAAGAAGAAATGGCCAGAAACAGTACCACACTGTGTACACCATTCTGCAGTTTGCTTTTGGGCTTAGCATGTTTTGGATAGCTGTCCATCCTAATCCATCTAGTCCTAATATATTCACTTTTAACTGCACAGCACTCCATTCTACACATATGCCACAGTCTGTGAATCTATGCCCCTGCTGATGAATGCTTGGCTAGTTCCAGGTTATCACTGTGACAGGCAACGCTGCAATAAACAGCTTCCACCCAGGTACGGGTTTCTAGGATACAAAGACGGTAAATGATGCAGCCACAGGGCGCACAATTTCCTACTTTACTGGAATTGCTGACTTTCCCACCAACGGTTATAAAGTGTCCTGTTTGTCTTCTGACTGGTTACAGCACTTCCCCGCACGGTGGTCTCTAATCCACTGGGTGCCATCGATTTGCTAATGGTTGATGTTGGGGTCCAATTCATTGTTTTGAAAAATTTTATTCATTCATTCATTCATTCATTCACTTATTTATTTTTAGAGAGGGGGAGGGAGGGAGAAAGAAAGGGAGAGAATACATCAATGTGTGGTCGCCTCTCGAGTACTCCACACTGGGGACCTGGCCTGCAACCCAGGCACGTGCCCTGACTGGGAATCGAACCAGCAACCCCTTGGTTCGCAGGCTGGGACTCAGTCCACTGAGCCACACCAGCCAGAGCCAGTTCATTGTTTTTTATGTGGAAAATGAGTAGCTCCTGACTTTCCCCAGTGGTCCTGGTCAGCTCCCCATTACCTCTGGGTGCTGCTCCTGGAGCCTGGTGGTGTTGGATTTTTAAAAAAATAACAGCTTTACTGAGATATAATTCACATGCTGTACAATGCACCCTTTTAAAGTATATATAATTCAACAGTTTTCACCATATTCCCAGAGTTGTGCAACCACCATCACAATTTTACAACATTTTTATCGTCCCAGAAAGTAATCTCTCCTGCACTCACTAGCAGTCGCTCCCCATTTCCCCACCCTCCCCTGGCCTCTGGCGACTACTAATCTGCTTTCTGTCTCTGCGGAGTTGCCTGTTCCGGACATATCGTATAAATGGGATCATACAGTATGTGGCCTTTTGTGGCTGGCTTCTTTCATTTAGCATCATGTATTTAAGGTTCATACATGTTGTAGCATGAATCAGTATTTCACGTTTTACGGCCAAATAATATTCCATTGTGTGAATAGACCCCCTTCTGTTTATTCATAAGTTGATGGACATTTAGGTCGCTTCCACCTTTCGTCTATTGTGGATAATGCTCCTATGGACATTCACGTACGTGTTTTTGCAGGGACATTGCTTTCAGTTCTCTTGGGTATATACTGAGTAGTGGAACTGCTGGGTCACATGGTAACTCCAGGTTTAACCTTTTGAGCAACTGCCAGCCTGTTTTCCAAAGTACCCCATTTCTGTCATCTGATTTAAAAAGTGACAGATATATGATAGTGACCAGCTGGAGCGGTGGCCGCAGAGTTGTGCCGTGTGGCAGCATGGCCTCCCCGTGGCCTCCATCACCTGGACCTCGTCACCACCCTGCAGGCCCAGCCTGATGGGGGAGGGGCGCCCCTCTCTGCTGGGCCAGGTTCCACCCCACACCTGGCCTTCGAGAGAGCCTCACTGTGAACGCAGGCGAATGTCCATCTTGGCTTGTCAGGGGGCCCAAAGCACCGATGGCTGCCACCGTGACCCTTGCTTCATCCACCCCGACCTGAAGGGCCACCAGGTCCTGCCTGTGGCTCAGAGCTAACATCACAGCCATCGAGCACAGGTTCACAACTGAGGTCGCCTTGCACAGCCCCTGAGTTAGTGTCTCTCTCCAGTGTTACCATGAGCCTCTGCTGGCAGGACCAGGTGGACCCTTATCTGCACCTGTGGCTCCAGAGGAAGGCTGGGCACATGGGGGCAGCACTGAGTCCACAGCGGGGCTCTGCCACCGGATTTCCGAGCCTCTTGGCACAGGTTGCCCCTCCTGCCACCTGCTCTTGGCCCCTCCTGGGCCCTGTGGTCATGGGGAAGCCTAAATGGGGCATCGGGAGATAACTACTCTCTATCTGTATGACCCTGGGAAGCCATTCCCTTTCCACAGTTTTCCTCAGTTTCCTCATCTGTGAAATGGGGCTGGGTAGGTTTAACCTACAGAGTTGCCAAAGAAGCACAGAAGAGAATTCAGCCTGTGGGCACCATGCCTACTGCGCTTCAGGTGAGCTCTCTGTGCTGGCCTCACAAACCACGGATCTTGTTGCATGGGCCCCTTGTCCCCTGAGGTCACCAGAGAAGGAGATGGCCAGCCTGGCCGCACACTCACGTTTTCACGTAGGGGTCCGAGTAGCCGTTGGCGTCCATGGCAGCCAGGTGTGCACAGCGCACGATGCCGACCAGCAGGCCCTGCTTCTGCGAGCTGTACTTGAGGGAGATGAGGATGCGGCCCCGCTCCTCCAGGGACTTGTCTTCCGTCTTGTCCACCTGTGGAGCAGGCAGTCACTGGGCTGTCCTCACCTGCTCCCATCCCTTCCCTCAACCATGGGCCACCAAGGCCATCTATGGGACAAAGGGAGCAGGTGCTTCCTGGAGCCTCTGAGGGTACGGGGTGGTCCCCTTGGAGAGGACATAGAAGACAAAGCTTTGACACATTCCCAAGCCCAGGGAGAGCCACAAGGCTGGTGGGGGCCGCCCAGGCCTGTGCCCACCCCTGGAATCAGACCTCAACTCTAGGCCGCACTGTCGGGCTTCCCAGCCGTAGCCCGTGTGACGCTTCTCTAGTCCTCACCCTCTCGGGGTCACCCACTCCCACATTCTGGCTGCTGCTCACACGGACCCCCCTCCTGTGCCCTCTGTCCACCCAGATACATCCAGCTGGAGCCCCAGGGCTCCCAACGGTCTCTCGGTCAGGCTCCTCTCACACAAAGTCTCAGCCATGTCCCCTTGCCCACAACTGTACTCTGCCTATTGCTAAAGGGATGCCCCACGTGGGCTCTTGTAGGCGGGGGCCACGCCTGCACCTCCTTGGAGATGGGGGCTCCCGTGAAGTGAAGGCAGGATCGCATTCTCCAACACCCACGCCCAGAGCAGACATGGAGAACCGATCGCAGCACGCGCCCTGAGCTCAAATGCAGCCTGGCACCTTTCTCCACATGGCGCTCAGGCAGCCGCGGGGTGTGGACCAGCCCAGGTGGGTGCGAGTCCACTGTCTGCCACTCTGGCCTGGGGCCTCACTACACCATGGCTCTTGTGCTAGTTTGTGTGACATGTGAAAATTAAGCAATATAAATGAGCGTGGATATTTTCAGCTATTTTTTGTGGGGGATATAAGTACTTTGGGTCATTTCATATGAAGACCAATAAACTGGTTTATTCAGTATTTACTGAGAACAACTCGGTCCTCAGGCTACGTAAAATCTAAAATGTGGCATCAAAACGTGTTTTTACTGCCAGAGCGGCCAGTTCCAGACTGCACTCTTGTGGTGACCTCGTATCCCTGAAACCAGACTAACGAGCCCCTAGCAAAACCCAGCCACGCCCCGGATACAGGCGCGCACACCCTCACCCACCCACGTGCATAGACATGCCCTCACACACACATTCCACACACTCAGACGCGCCCACACGTGCACGCTCGCTCACGTGCAGGTACCTGCTCACACACACGCACAGTGCCTTCGTACACCATTCACATGTACGCTCCCCCCCCACCAACACACACAGTTGCTTATTTATGCTGGGGACCAAATCCCAGGAACACAAGAATAGTAGGAGTTGATGTTGCCTTTTCTGAGTGACGTAGATCATTTGGAAAAACTAGGTTACCTGTGGTTAGTGACTAATAATAAAACAAAAAAGGTCATATCCATCACACAAACGTCTATGAGTGGGAGAGAACATGACAAGGGAATAACATCTGATCAAGTTATGCAAGAAGACGGAGCTGGGACTCTGGCAGGAACTCCGGCCTCAGGCCGGCGTGCTCCCAGGGCTTGACCCAGGCCGGGCTGCCGAGCATCTGTCCAGGGCTCAGACCCCGCCCATGGGCCCCGCCTCTGGGCTCTCTCCTCTATCGCTTCCTCCTTGCCTGGGCCCTTGGGGGGACTGTCCCAGGAAGGGGACTGTACCCTGAGCACTGGGCTGTCAGAAGGTCACGGTTTCTTAGGACCCTGGGGTCTCCTGCCAAACCCACCCAGCCCTTGAGCTGGGTGAAGGTGAGGCCCCAAACAGCAGCGGGGTGAGGGGTGGCAGGGCTGAGAGCCAAGTGGACCGAGGCTCTGGAGGGCTCAGCTGCTGCCGACGGCCAGGGGCAAAACTGGCTTTGACATCATTTTCAAACAATTGCAATTTCCAGGAAAGAATTATTTGCTGTCTCCTCTGGGTATCTCACAGGCACCCCCTGCCTAATGTGTTCCAGCTGAGTTCCCATGGCCCCAGCTGCTCCTCCCAAGGTCCTCTGCATCCCAGTTAATAACCCCCGATCCCCCGGTGCGCAGGCCCCCACGCGCCGGGACGCAGACCTGCCGGCACACTCCCCAGGCACCGCTGCTGCCCCCAACCCGGCCTGGGCCCGCTCTATCTCCTCCTCACTGCTCTCCCCCTCTCCCTCCCCCTCTTCTCTCTGCCATTCTGGGTCCGGAGAGCCTGTTGGAATGTAGCCCTTGCCTAGCCCGTCTCATTCAGGGTGAAGGCCTGAGTTCTGCCCGGCTTCCCCACCCCCAACCTTTGCTCTCAGCTCCTAGGACACCTTCCCCTTTTTCTCCACTGCACTCAGTGGGTTCCTTGCCTGTGCCTCCGACAGACGGGGCACCTGTCATATGGGGCTTTGCACCTGCTGTTCCCTCTGTCCGGAATACTCCAGCTTGCCTGGCGAGCCCTTCCCCGAGCACACATCCGAACCGTCAATCCCTCCTACGCTGTCCTTCTTGGCCTTGATCACTGTTTTACACAGGATCCGAATGAGTGACTTAACCCACTTTGGGTCTGTCTCCTGCTCAGGTTCCATGGGGGCAGGGATTTCTATCTCCCCAGCCCCTGCAACCATGCCAGATACATAGAAGGTGCTCAATAAATGCTGCAGGACCCTGAGCTCACGGCAGGGAGGGCCCCGGACAACCTGCAGAGCGCTGCGGCCTACTCACTGGCAGCTGCTTCTCCAGGCAGATGCTGAAGGTCTTGGTGTGGTTGGGTTTCAGCTTTTTCAGGGGCACTCGGGTCTCCCCGATGAACTCGTTGTGGCGGAATTTGTCCTCATCACACACGGAGATCCTGGAGGGCAAGGGCATGGCCAGCTCTTCAGACACACCGGTGCTCTCTGCTTCCAAAGTCAGTGGGGAATTGCACGCGGTGGGAGAGGAGTGGATAGGGCTGGGGTGGGCATGGGTGGGGAGGGAGCTTACGGCCCGGGGCCCTCACCCACCGCAGCGTCTTCCGAATCATGTCTTCGTCCGTGATCCCGTAGTAAGTGAGGGTCTCGTTCCACGTGGGGTTCAGAGTGTTTCGGAGCGTTTTTGTTCTGAGCTTATTTGCCTGGAGAGAGCAAAAAACGATCCTATGAGCATGCAGGAGCGCCATGTGTGGGCAGGATAATGACCCCGGAAGAAAGGGCAATTAAGGTTGTTAATCAGCTGCCTTTAAAATAGGGAGATGATCTAGGTGATGTGGGCGGGTCGCTGGGAAGCGGGAGGGGAGATGTGAGGGGGGAAGAGGTCAGAGGCGCACCATTGCTGGCTTTGAGGACAGTGACGGGTGGCCTCTACCCACTGGAGAGGAATGGGACACGGCTCCTCCCATAGTGCCTGCAGAAGGGACCGCAGCCCTGTGACACTTGGGTTTAGCCCAGTGGGACCTCTGTCAGACTTCTAAGCTGCAGAACTGGAAGGTGAGTTTGTGTGGTTGGGGTGAAATGTGTTCCTGCTGTGCTAGGAGCCTCCAATAGGGGGCTCCCTGCGCTGGTGTGTGTGGGGTGCTGTCTGCGCGGGTGGGCGTGGGGGTGGGGATGGTGCTATGGCGGGTTTGCAGGAGGCTGGGGCTGGGTCGGGGGCTGCGGGGAAGCCTCCCTCACACCCCCTTGCCTTTGCCGAGGATGTTGCCCCGCCCTGTAATGCTGCCTTTCCCAGAGAACGCCTGTGGGGGGTCTGCCCAAGCTGCCGTGGCACCTCCACCCCGCCTCCGTGCTTCTGCTGATCTGGGTTCTGCCGCACCAGGCCCAGGTGGGGCTCAGGTGGGCCTGGGTTCAAAGCCCAGCTCCAGCCCTCGCATGAGCTCAGCAGGGAATTGCCCCCTTGTGCCAGGTTCCCCGCCGTAAAAAAGGCCTAACGGCAGCTCTTACAGCATTGCTTTCAGGGAAATTATCAGGAGACTTCTTTTTGTAAAATGCTTCATTCGAAAACCCTGTGGGGGTTCCCATAACCCAGCCTCCAGGCACTGCCCATTCTAGGTCCCAGGAGTCTAGGGACTGTGGTCATTGAGCTCCTGAGGTGGGCACTTCCCTGGTCCCATGGCCCTCAGCCCTGCAAGTTCCAATGGCAGCAGGACGATGTGGAGCCCTGCAGCGGGGAGCCCAGTGCTCCAGGGCCACTGTCATATCTCCCACGGCCCGGCCCTCCCAGGCCCTGGGTGGCCCTCCTGGATGGGGGTGAGCCTCCCGGAGGGGGTGAGCCTCGGCCCTGCACACTGGTCAGAGGGTGTGAGCCCCGGTGTCAGCGGGGGCGCGAGCAGCCCATGGCGGCTCAGCCCGGGCAGGACGCCGAGCTGGCCTGGAAGAGCCCGCGGCAGCCAGGGGGCCTCTGCCCACAGCACACGCTCCCATGAATGACTCTTCCTCCCTCTCAGGCCACTTGAAGGCCCAGAAGGAACTTGCTCGCTCTTGGCTTCAGAGAAAGGGGCCCGGAGAAGGACACCAGCCATGGGGCCGTGCTGCTCACAGTCCCGTGCCCCATGTCCCAGCTGCCCCTGCGTTCCCGCTGGTTTCCGCCTGGAAGCAAAGCTGCGGGTCGGTAGTTGAGTCGCCCTTGACACAGGGTCTGCACAGCTCACCCGCTGGGGTGTCTGTGGGTCCCAGGGCAGTGGCAAGACCCAAATCTGAAAAGCTGGTGTGACCTTCCCTTCCACGAAATTCAAAAGGAAGCCATAAGGCACATGTGAGGAAGCCTAACGGGGTGTTGCCCTTCCTGTGCCGAGGGCCACCTTGGTGATTTGTATCATAGCCGATTTTACTAAAATGTTTTTTCTCTCCTTTCCTAGATGCACCATGTGCTTGATCTGCCCGCTGGGTCATCTGACATGGGAACATGGTTCTGTGGACCAAAAAACTGGGCAGACGCTGTCCACCTCATCCCCCTGGCAGAGTGTCACAGAGCAGTCCGTCAACACACAAAAGGCTCTGATAAGTCCCGCAATAAAGAAACCTGGTTAACACTGTTTTCCAGTGTCACTTGACCTCAGAACCCTTTTTATTTATTTATTTTTAAATCTCACCCCAGGGTATTTTTTATTGATTTTAGAGAGAGGAAAGCGGGGGAGGGGGAGAGAGTGGGAGAAAGACAGAAACATCGATGTGAGAGAGAAACATTGATCAGTTGCCTCCTGTATGTGCCCCGACTGGGGATTGAACCTGCAACCCAGGTACATGCCATGACCAGGAATCCAACCCACAACCCCTTGGTGTACGGGACGATGCTCCAACCAACCAAGCCACCTGGCCAGGGCAGAACCCTTTTTGAAAAGCATGATATTAACCTCCAGCTAAAACCGCTTCTTATAAAATGCTGGCCTGGAAATTCTCTGGGCAGTGTCGCCACCTCAGCAGGCAAGTAGTGCCGAACTTAGGTTCCTGGGAGGCCTGGAGGGCGTGGGGCTGCCCGGGCACTCTGGGTGGAGGTGAACGGCCGAGGTCCTGTCAGCCAGCTCGGTCTCTGAGGCGGGCGTGAGAGCTATGGGCCTCCCTCGGTGCCCCAAGCCCAGCCTGGGCCCCTGTCACACTGGGCAGGCCCCTCACCTTACTGGCTCCGGGCAGCAGGTGCAGCTTGACATAGGGGTCCGCCAGCCCGTTGTGGTCCATCGGCTTCAGGCCCTGCGCAGAGGAGAACAGCAAAGGCCGTGCACTGGGTCGGGACACAGAGCCGCCAGGGCCTCCGGGCACCTGGGGCAGCAGGCATCTCTTGTTCCCTAGGCCCCCTGGCTGGGTCCATTTGTGACCCTCTTCCCAGAAGCCCCCTGGCTCCACACGCTGAGAATGGGGGAGTCAGGGTGGCTCGGTGCTGGCATGACCTCCCTTCCCCTTGCTGTCCTGGACCAGCGCAGGCATGGGGTGTCTTCGTCAGAGCGACCTTTCTCTTCCTCGTTTCTGTCTCCGTCTCCTTATCGTGGAGGCCAGGTGACTCACCTTTCTCTGAATGAGGCCCTCATTACGCCACTTGGTCAGGCCCTCCCTTCTTCCTGCATCCCCTCCCCCCACTCTCCAAACAAAACTTCCCTCACTGACCACAAACCCACACGACCATCTGTCCACTCATCAACATGCATCCCTCTGTAGCTGTAGAAAAAAATGACCTATGTCCTGGAGACCAGGCTCAGCTTCTTCCTGGATGTGCCACAGCTCCCTGCCTGGACGCATCTGTGGAGGCCGCCCAGCTGGCTGGCCGGCTGCGGAGGGTCCCTCCACAAGATGGCAGCCCTCACTCTCGGAACAGTCGGTGTGCCTGGCCAAGGAACCGGAGGCCCGTAAACAGGCAGGGCTTAGCTGACCTCACGCCTGCTCTCGTTTCTGAAAATTGTACTTTTATCTCCTGGATGGCACACGGGGCCGTAAGAGAGGCAGCCGTGGCGTGTGTAGGTAGAGCTGGTGACCCCAGGGTGTCACTTGGAGGTGAACTAGTTGGCTGCCCACAACCAGGCCCTCCTTCCAGGGGAGGTGAGGCTCTTCTCCTGCCCCTGCCCTGACCTCAGTTTAAAGGAGCCGCCAGGTGGACACCTGAACCACCCACTGCTCTGCTTCTGCGAGGGGTGCGCAGGTTTCAGAGCCAGGTGGGCCCGGCCGGGTGGCTCCTGCACTTCCGAGCTGGGTAAGGGAATGAGTCCCTTGGTCTCCTGAGCCTCAGCTTTATCATCTGTACAAAGGGTTAACATTTCTCACTTCCCAGGGTGGGAATGTGAGTTGGGGAGGTAATGCTGACCATGGGCCTGGGCAGCAGGGGCTTTGCTCCCCTTTCCCTGCAGGCTGGCCCCCTGGGAAGAACCCAGAGAAGCGGTTGGGGTGGGTATCTGAGCTCTGCCCCGCTCTGCAGGGCCGGCTCTGGGAGGAGGCTTGGCTCTGAGGCCCTGTGTGCACCGCGGCAATGAGGCGGCCCTTCCAAACGTGCATCCCTCTCCCTGGCCTCTTGCCTTCTCCCACGAAGTGCCCAGATGGGCGGTCTGCCAGTTTTCTTAGCTCCTCTGTGGATGTGAGGGCCCGCGCGTCCCTGTGCCTCTGGGTGGGTGCCTGTCACCTGGCGTCATCCTCCAGGACAGCATTAGGTCTTTGATCATTCAATGCTCACAACCACCACATAGGTGGAGGGGGTTAACTTTATTTTACAGGTGAGCAAACTGAGGCTGCTCTGCTTACTCCGGGGGCAGGTGGCCAGACCAGGGTCTAGCGCCAGGTCATCTGGCCTCCTCCCGGAGCCCCCTGAGGGGCTCTGCCTGGCAGCCCTGCCAGCTTTCTTACGCCCCGGCTCCTCCCCCGCCCAGAGCCCCAGCTCCTCTCAAGCCCGCGCCACCCGCTTCTCTGCAGAACTGGATCTAAGCAGGGAATGACCTGGAGAATGAGGGAGCTGCCATGGCTTGGGGTCCTCCCTCCCCCACCTGAAATGCCTTGAGCGACACACCCCTGAATGAACACACACATGCGCACATGCAGTGCCAGAGCCCTGTACACGCACACACGTGTCCATACCCACCGCACCTGCACAGCACCCCTGGGGTCCCGGTCGGGAAGGCGGGGCCCCGTGTCTGGGCTGGGGAGGGGACGGGATGGCTCTGGTCAGAGTGGCTCGGCAGCCCGTGCCCATTCCGTCCCCAAGGCTGGACGACGACCTGTGTAAAGCTGGGTGGAGGGCGAGGGGAAGGGATCTGCTTGCACTTTGCAGTCTGCTTGCCACCTTGGCATAGCGGGGGGTCGCCAGGTTCTCAGCCCTGTACCCTGGGCAGGCCTGGAGCCCCGGCCATGCCAGGCTGGGCAAGCTCCGCACATCTGCCCGAACAGCTCCCAGAGGACGGTGTAGGGGTCGGGATGGAGCGTGCAGGCCTCTAGGAGCCCGACTGGACGGTGCTCACTGCTGCTCTGGCAGTCCAGGTGGGGCCCAAGCTGGGAGGGGCCCCGCTGGGGCAGTAGCAGGCAGCCTGTCCCTCCAGGGCAGGGTGAGAGGGAGGGCAGAGGAGCTCGCAGGTGGGGGACGAGGGGTGGGGTCCAGGCGCAGGCAGTTCCCTGCTCTGAGCCCAGCCCGGGCCCTTCTGCGACTTGACCCTACTAGGAGGTCCTACCAGGCGCACCGCCGCCCTTACCTTGCGAGAGAACATCAATTTGGGCACCTTCCTCCCAGAGGGAGCGACGTGTGGGGGCATGAAGGGAACAGCATGGCTGAGAGCGCAGAGCTGACGTGTGCCCGCCCAGGGGACAGGGCCACCCACGGCCCCGACCAGAGAGCAAGGCTCAGGCCCTGACGCCAGGAGATGACTCTCCTGCCTGGAGTGGCCTCAGCGTCCAGAGTGGGACAGTGGCACCCTCCCCTCCTTCACCAGCCGCCGCCCTCGCTCTGGGGGCCTCTGCCCCTGACAGCCCCTCCCTTCTCCCGGATTCTGCGCCTTCCCCCACACTCCCCTCAGCAGGGCTTTTTAGGGCAGCTGAGATGATTTAGGCAAAAAATCATTCCCTCCTGGCCCTGCGCCCACACAGCCTGAATACCAAGAAACAGAGCGGGGTGGGGGACTGGCGTGCCGCCCTGAGCCTCCCCCGCCAAGGCCCAGCCCTGGGGACAGACAGCCCACGGGGCCTACCTTGGCCTTGCTGATGGTGCAGTGGAGGGCGTTGTTCTCCTGGTCGTAGAGGAGGCTGAAGTCCAGCGTGCCCAGGGCGGCTGCGGACAAAGGGGGCTTTGGTCATGTGTCGGCTGCACAGTGGAGAGGCATCACCCACCCCTGTGAGGCCGGACGAGGTGCCAGTGCCACAGTGACTGCCACCAGCTGCGCGCCCACTGCACATCAGTCCCGCCACCCAGCTTCCCAAGCCTGGGAAGTGAGCAGTATCCTCCCCACTTTCTGGATGAAGGGCCGAGGCTCAGAGAGCCTGGGTCAGTGGCCCCCGGTCACTGTGAGTGAAGGCCCGAGAGTGAGACCCAGGGCCCTAAACTCTGCGCTGTGCTGCCTGTCCTGGGGCTGGCTCGGTGTGGCACCCATGTGTACTGGGCACTCGGCTAAAGGCATTGCTGCCCTTTCCTGCCCTCCTTGAGCACCTGACACTCTGGGCTTCGGGCTCAGTTTCCCTCACCCGGTAGAGGTCACAGGATTGTGTGAGGAGGCAGAAGGGACAAGGCCCCGGCAGGCTGATTGGCTGAGCCACTCACCCACCTCCCAGCAACAGTCGGGGCGCAGCTCCCTGGTCTCTTGTCCCTTGGGGGCCTGCGCGGGCTTTGAGGCGCCAGCTGGGTCCTCATGCTGTCACCACCAAGCCTTGTAAGGGCAGTGGGAGATTCCCAACGGCTAGGCAGAGACTGCAGCAATAATTGGGTGCAGCTGCCACTCTCGGGGGCAGTCACACGTGGCAGCTGTGGCCTCCCATGTCGACGTGGCTCCCGACATGAAGATGAGAGTTGGGGGCGGGGGGCAGACCTTGGGGCAAGTCTGCACAGCAAGCGTACATTCGCAGGGTGTCTTTAGAAGCACAGACCCTGCTCGCAGCCTGCAAGGCTAGTCAACTGCTCTCTCTCTCATTCGTTCATTCGTTCATTCATTCATTCATCCCTTACCAAGTGTCTATAATATGCAGCCTCTAGGGATGGAGATAATAAGGCACGGTTTCTGCCCCAAGGAAAGCACAGCTTCATGGCAGTAACAGATGAAAAGAACTTGCCATAACAGAGTCTGCTGGGCCAGGAGTGATGGGGGATGCTGGGCCTTGTGGTGAATTGTGGCCTTCAGGGAAGCCTTCCTGGAGGAGGTGATGCCTGAAGGATGAGTAGGAGTTGGCCAGTACACAGTGGGGCTGGGGAAGGGGCATCCAACTACAGGCCAACAAGAGGGTGGGAGACTGAGTGGCGGGAGTGACGGTGGGGGAGGGCAAGGCACCCAACATGGGTCCAGCCACACCCATCTGTTTACGTCTGAACCACAGACGCCTTTTCTCACTATAACAACAGCAGAGCGGAGTGGGCGTCACAGGGACCATACTGCCCGCAGGTCCGGGGGCTCGTACAGGGACCCAGGCCTGACGAAGTCTTGGGGCTGCAGAGACACGGGCAAATTAAGGCCTGGGCACATGGAGCTGCCCTTTACTCCGAGGCGATGGCATGTCATCTGTGTCTTGCTCCCCAGCTCCTAACACAGGACAAGGCACACAGCCCAGCATCTCTGTCCTTGCCTGGGGGCACGTGACCCTGGGTTCAAATCCCAGCTCCTCACTTCCTTGCTGTGCGACCTCTGGCAGCTTATCTAGCCTCTCCCTGCCTCAGTTTCCTCTGCGAGACGGATGCCCCCTCGTGTCTGCCTCACAGCAGCGTGCTTTCCAACACACCTGGGACACAGAAAGCGCTCGGTAGATAATTATAGAAGGAGCAGATCCATTTCGGTGACTTTTCTAGATAACTGTACTTGCCCCTCTGAGACGCCTTCTGGAATGAACTCGTTCCAAACTGGATCACTCTCCTCCCAGGCTTTGCGAGGAGCAGAGACAACGGGTCGCTTCCACTTTTCTGAGGAACCTGAGTCATTGCTGTGACGACAGTCACTGCTCTGTGTCACAGCCATAGCACAGACACGGAAGGGGGTGCAAGACGATTCCTCCGCCAGGCAACCCCAGGTTTTCCCCATTTCTCTGCCTCCTGCTTTGCCATCAGCTTGAAACTCCCGTTATACAGTGCTTGCTAGCACAAACAGGCCTCCCTCCCATTCACTAGTTACTTGTTTATTCTGTGAAACCAGGTGAGAATACTTGTTAGAATTGTGTCCAATTAGGAGTCAACAGGCCCTGAGGGGAGCCTGAGGGACTTTTCTTCTGAAAAGACTATGTTGCTCTGAGGCCAACTGTGTCTGGCCTTTGAGGCCTGCATCCCTAGCTCCCCCGCAGCTGGGCGGTGAGGGTGCTCGAGGCGAGGCGTTCATCACCATGCCCCAAAAACTATACGCGGGCCCAGCATTCTTCAGGCCCACATGCTTTTGTGATAATATTCTCCAAAGCTGTTGGCTTTACAGGACAGTCAGTCACTCATTCTGCTGTCTAGTTCAGGCCTATCCGTGGCTTGCTGCCCCCAGACATTAGCCTCCCGACAGCAGGGACTGTGCCTCAGCCACACCGGGGACACCAGCAAAGACAGATGTTCAATTCATGTGGCTGGTCCATTCACACCGTCTCTCTTTCCTGCTGCTCTTAGTGTGATGCCCACAAGTTAAAATGCACCCTCCCTGATCTCTGTTGGCTTCCCAGTCCTGGAGAAGGACAAGCCAGTGAGATGGAGGGGCCGCCTGCTCCCCACTGGGAAACAGCCCCGGGAGGAGGGGGGAGTGCCTCTCTCTGGGTCTCCGGACACCCTGGTTTAAGGAGGGCTGACGCTGCTCCGTGGAACTGACACCTGTTACCGCTTTCCGGGAAGGAATGACATGCCTCGTGTTGCCCCGGGGCAAGGTTGATGAATTTCTTTGAACTCTAATGTAAGCTTTGTAAGAAATAATAGTTTATAAATAAAAGCTCAGTTAATATTTTTATTATTATTTTTTATCCTCATCCGAGGACATTTTTTTCATTGCTTTTGGTGGGGGAGGAGAGACATCAGTGTGAGAGAGAAACACCAACTGCTTGTCTCCCATATGTGCCCCGACCGGGGATCAAACCTGCAACCTGGATATGTGCCCTCACGGGGAATGGAACCCGCCACTTCTCCGTCTATGGGAGGAGGCAGCAACCAACTGAGCCACACCAGCCAGGGCTCAGTTACCATTTTTAGAGACTTGACAGCGGTGGAGCTCTCTTAGGGACCTTGTAATCCAAAGTCTTCGTTTCCCAGTCAGAGAAATGAGGCTGAGAGAGGGGAGGTGACCTGTTCAGGGGGCACAGCAGAGCTGGACGTAGAATCTAGGCCTCTTTTTTTTTAACCCTCACCTGAGGATACGTTCGTTGATTTGAGAAGAGAGAGAAAGAAACACTGATGAGAGAAAAATTGGCCGCCTCCCATCCACGCTCCTGCTGGATAGCAAACCTGCAATCCAGGTATGTGTCCTGACCGGGAATCGAACATGCAGCCTTTTGGTGCATGGAATGACACTCCAACCAACTCAGCCACCGGGCCAGGGCAGATTCTAGGCCTCTTCATTTCCACCCTGATAGTTCCTGTCTTAAAGCTTGATGGCTTCCGATTGTTTTTGTCTACCACTTAGTTTAGCTGAAATCTCAGGAGAATGCAATGGAGAGAAAGGCAGAGTTGCTCCTGGGGACCACAAAGGGCTTGGCTGTGCCCTGCAGGGAGGCTCGGAGTTGGAAATGCACCTTGGGCTTGTGGCAGGGCTGGGGAGGGCCCCCAGGGCAGGCGAAGGTGCTCGTCTGTGTGAGCCACAGGGTCCTGCCCTTGAGTCACTCAAATAACGCGTCCTGGCTAAAGTTTACATCCTTGGAAAAATAATGAGCGTTGGTCACTAATGGGCCTTTGAGAGTTGTCACCCGCTTGTTGATAATTATAGAGCTTTAATGGGGCTAATTCAGAGAAAATCAAGCTCAAGCCCCTGTTGGTTCCTCCAAGGCTGAACATCCCTCTGCTCTGCTGCCGGGACTGACGGCATTCACTTTGACCTTGGATTGCACCTGGACTTTCCTCACCCCTACACTTGGGAATGGGAAATATGCTTTTTTTTTTTTTTTAAGAAAAACATCAGCCTCTCAAATTATTTTAAACATCTAAAAATGATTAAATCTGAGTTGAAAGCATTTGGTGGTTGGGGAAACTGAGGCACTGCAGGGGATACAAAGAGGAATGAGTCATACGTCCCTGCTTCCCAGGAGCTCAGAGGCGGAGGGTTGGGGCTTTTATAAATCTATTCATCCCCCTGCTTTAAATTGTTCAAAGGTTCTCCACTGCCTCCTGGACTCATTTCAGCTGCCTCAGTGTGGCATCCAAGGTCCTCTGTTCCTCTGAGACATGGTGGCTTTGGACTCATCGTTAATTTTTCCCCCCTTGCTTCAGCCACTTCCCCTTACTGTTTCGTCTCCGCTGGCCTGTGTCCTACACCCCTGTTCCTGGGCACGCGGCGGCCCCTCTACCTGGAGCGCCTCCCCTCCTCCTTCCGTGCCGGCAGTGTGCGTTCTCCCTCCCTCCAGCTCTGAGTGGAGTGCTCTCTGTGGGTGAACTCTGCCAGCCATGCCTTCAACCAGGTTCCTGCCTGGCTGTCTTCACTGCTGGGCTATTTGTGCGTTTTGATTTTCATAAACTCCCTGATGTCAGAGACTGTCTCAGGCATTCTTGAATCTTCATGCACAGCACAGTGCCCGACAGAGTTGGTCTTGTAATGTTCAGTGAACAAAAATATGGTCCCAGCAAAACACAATTGGTTCAAAGAAAGGGAAATCGCTGCTAGTGGGGCCTAGGAAATGGCCTTCAGGCAGGCCTAACAGCGATTCCCCACTCCCTTCTTACTCCAGGCCTCCACGACATAAGTCCTGCCACAGGCCCAGGATGAATCCTGCAGGGCAGGTATACACGTGGACACATAATGCAATTCTAGCCAATAAGGCAGGACAGGTCTCCTGGGGATTCTTGGAAAGCTTTCCTTGCTCTTAAAATGAGACATGGGAGAGGAGACATCTTTCTCAAAGTTAGGATCTCATTGTTACATGTGATGGCTGGATCTGCAGCAGCCACTTTGGACCATGAGGAAGGCCAGCCTAAGAGGAAATGAGCATGGCTCAGTGGAAAGACAAACAGAACACTCACCATTGATGTTACCAATGAGTTGCTGCATAAATCTACCCTGGTGCACTGACCTCAACAGTCCTCAGTGTTTAACACACTTTGAGTTTTCTGCTACTTACAACCCAAACTATTCGAGTCATTACAGCTTTGAAGAGTGGACTGGGTTTCCATAGGTGGAGAGTGTGTAGGCAGGAAGAGGCCCATACAGATGGTGGGCCATAGGGCCCGTCTGGAGGGCAGTAAGCCTCGGAGTCCAGCTCAGCTGGGCGCACAGTGGACCGATTGGGGTAGGGAGGAGACACTTCTAACTCCAACATCCACTGCATTTTCTCTCCATCATTACTCCTCTATTAGATCAGTTTGGAACATGTCAACTTTGTGCTTGTGACTTGAGGTGACTTAATAAGGATGAGCTTTAAAGAGAAGGAAGAAGATGCCAAGTGAATAAAGAGCACTTCACTCTTGGCCTTGGACAACAGAGCGACCGCCCTAATTTCTTTTTGTTGGAAGAGAGATAATCCAATAATTAGGGCAGCAAATAGCATAACCCTGGCTAAAGCGGTAAGAACCATCTGGCTTGAATCATTTAGGCTTATCCTGGGGATCTGGTTGTCAGAGTGGAGAGGGAGTGTGGCCTGAGAGTACTTTCGCCCCAGAACTTGGTCCCCTTGTGGGCAGGAGCCAAGATTTCAGTGCTCCCATGCCTGGATGTTTGCTCAGCCACTGATGTGGTCCAAACCCAGAGTGGGCTGCTCCCTGAAGGGCGCAAGGGGCCCAGGCTGGCCCTGGCTCAGCCACACTCCCTCCTCCTTGCTCTTTTCAGCTGAGTGCCCTGGGGGTAGGGGTGCGGCCAGCCCGCAGCTCAGGCCGGGGAGGCTGTGTCTAGGACTGCCTTGTACCACTGACCCCAAGAGAGTCTGTCCCCTGCTGGGACAGGGAGCTCTCTGGTCCAGGGCCCCAGCCCTGTTCCCTCTCTGCTGCGAGGCCCGTGCCCGTGAAGGACCGTTGCGCTGGTGGACTGGGGATGCGGCCGCTGGCCTGAGTTTTGGAATTTCTGGTCCCCTCCTTGTCTGTGGGTCCAAGGATGGCCAAAAAATGAGACCAAATTTCTCACCACAGTGTTGCATGTCATCCAGGGAACCCTGGTGGCACCGGGAGGGTTGTCTGAAGCTCAGGCAGAAGCCCTGCTCTGTCCCCTCACTCCCTTGGAGTGGAAGGAAAGATGCTGGAAACAGGAACAAGTTCCCCATCCCTTCTTCGGAAGGTGACTTTGGATTCAGGGCACCCAAAAGGGTGACTTGAGACCCAGTCAGGGCCTGCCCAGAGGCACAGCAAGTAAGGTGGTGCGCTTTGCCCAGAGCGCCAGGAACTCGGCCGGGAAGATCCAGGGCACAGCCCTGAGGCCCCGATGCAATTTCCCCAAGCTGGCAGGGGAGCCGAGGGGTAGGACTGCTCCCCACCCCCACGCCCGGGGGGGCAGGGCCTCCATAGGCGAGCCTCTGGCCACAGGGCTGCGGTCCAGACCCAGAGAAAAGTGCAGAGCAGGCAGTTTCCCCACACCGGCTGGGCTCTGACCCCCTCCGCTGACGGGCCTCCTCCTGCTCACCCCTCCTGGGCCTGCTTAGGTCGGGCGTGGAGAGATCTGCCACCTTCTCCCTCCTCCTCAACCCAGTAGTGCTGATAGCCCCACCATCAGCTTCCAGAGGCACATTCTATGCTGGGGGAAACTACCGACCCCCAGCCCCAGGCCCTGGCAAGCACCCAAGCCAGGCGTAGCCAACCTCCCTGCGCTGCGCGGGGGATGCGGCCGGGTGGGCCTTGGCGATGCCCGTGAGTGACCCCTGCTCCGAAAGGTCCGCATCCCAGGCAGGGCTGGCGTTTGACGCTGGTTTTCCAGGTCTGAGAGTGACGTGGCTGGGGCTACAGCTGGGCTGGGGGCCTTGCAAGCAGTGCTCCCCCTTCCCCACCCCCATCCCGCTCCAACCCAAGCCGCACCGGGTAGCGACCTCTTCAGCCTCCATTTGCCTCTCCAGTCCCGGGTCGGGCGGGGCAGGCGCCCTCAGAGACGGGAAGGGCGCCAGGGGCGCCCACCGGCCGGGCCTCGGCTCCGGGGACCCCCAGTGCTCGCCTACTCGCTGGGGCTCGGGGCTCAGCACCGGGAGGAGGCGGCGCGGGCTGGGGGCCCTTCCTGGCCGGGAAAGCGGGAGTAACAGGTGGGCGAAGGCCGGCGGCCCGAGCGCTGTGGCTGGGGTCCACATACGCGGGAGGAGGAACCGCCAAGGTTTTCCCAAAGGACAAGCGTCCCCGCAGTCCTCTGGTCCTTGGACCGCGCGCCAGCAAATCCGCCGCGCTCTGCGGGCCGCCGGGCCCATCCGGGAGGCCGGACCGCCCCCGCCCTTGGCCCCCTGCCCCTGCCGCTCCCGTCCGATCCTCGGCCGAGGGGCCCGCCCGCAGCGGACTCCGGGGCAGAGAGCTACCGCGCGGGCAGCAGCAACTGGTGTCTCCCCAGGGCGCAGCTCCGCCCTTCCCGGGAACAAAAGCTGCCGCCCGCGCCGGAGCTCCGGGCGGCGGGCCGAGAGGGGGTGCGGCGCGGGCTCCAGGGAGCCGGACCTCGGAAACGGGACAGCCCCAGGGTCGCCCCCAAACTTCCCACCTCTCCGATAGGGTCCGAGGGAGGTGCCGGGGCTGGGTCTGCAGGGCGCGCGGAGAGTGTTAGGAACGGGCAAGGGGGCCGCGACCCGGAGCGGGGTGCATGCCGAGGGACAGCGAGAGACAGCAGGGCGACCAAGGGGCCAGTGAGGTCAGGGAGCGCGTTAGAAGCCGAGCCATGGGAGGGGGCGCGAAATCGGCGAGTTGGAAACTTACTGCAGTCGTCGGACTCGTAGCCGTCGGCGTCTGGCTCCTCCTCGGGCGGCTTGGCGGGCGGCCGCGCTGGGCTGGGGCTGGGACCGGGACTGGGGCCCGGGCTGGCGCCATAGGCTCCGAAGAGCTGGTCGACATCCTCGTCGTCGTCGCGGGCGCCGTCGGAGGGGCTGCGGCGGCCAGCGCTGGCCTCAGGCGGGCGCGCGGGGGCGTCCGGGGGCGCAGCGGCGCGGGGCCCTGTGGCCGGGGGCAGGCCCCGCGGGAAGCGGGGGAAGTAGTCGGAGATCTGCTTGATGGGTCGGATGGGGCCGGGGCACACGTCGATGGCCATATGCTCTTGTATGCTGATGGTCGCCTTCTCCCCGCGCCGCCGGAGGGTCATGCAGGCAGCGCGGTCCCGCCCGGGCGCAGCCCGGCCTGGTCTGGCGCGGCCCCGGGCCGGGGGCGGCTCAGCAGGACGGTAGGGAGCGACGGGGTCGTGTGGGCAGCGCCAGCGGCGCCCCAGGACGGCCCTGACGCGGCTGCTACCCGCTTGGTGGCGGCGGGCGCGAGTGAGTGCCAGGGGCCAGCAGGCAGGGGGCGGGCCCAGCCCGCGTCACCCGGTAGCAACCAAGCAGTGTGAGTGTGCGGGCTGCGCGGGCGGCGCGGAGCCGAGCGAGCCGAGCGAGCCGAGTGGCGCCGCACTCACCAGCGCTCACACCGGCGCGGCGCGCGCCGGCCCGGGACCCCGCGCGCGCACCCACACGGGAGGGCAGGGCCACCTGGTCGCCTTCCACTCACGCACGGTCTCGCAGGACAAGCAGGGAGCTGAGGAGCGACACGCAGGACGCACACTCCGCACGTTCCCGCGCGTGCCGGGTCTTGCTGGGTCTCGGTCGCTCTCACAGAACACACGCAGCTGAGCAAGGACACTCCAAGCACACACAAACATGTGTTGACACTTGGCAGTCAATATCCACTGGCTTGTATCTGCAGGACACCCACACAAACATATATGTCCTTACGGAGTTGGTTGAGTATACCCCTGACATAACACACACGGTCATAAAGAGGTAGCCAGGGGACTGGGCACGGTCTTGCTTGCCTCCCTGACAGGGCACACAAACAGCCACAGAAGCGATCAGGAATTCCACACGGATACTACCGGCCCCACCACACACACATACACACATTCAGTGGGACACACAGCCACGCTCCTAGGAGCGTGGGCACAGGCTGCTCACGCACTAGCAGGACAGGTACATCCTCGGCTGTCCAAGGTCATTGCTGGCACAGCCTGTTCACACTTCCTCTCAGATCACATACAAACACTATAAACTTAACTCAGTCCCTCGCTTAGCCCGTGAGTAATTGAAGGGACCCATGGGGACAGGGACGGGGTCAGTGAGGACCTTGATCACAGGCTGTGGTCAGGAGCGCGGTGAGGGCAGGCAGGGCCCTGGCAGAGGCGCCCTATGGGGAGTGAGGAGAGATAGATGCGGCGAGGAGGAGGGGCAGGGTGTGGTCTGCACATTGGCTGTGGCCTCCCCGCCGGCAGATAACTAAACAAATCCCAGACAGCTCAGCCCTGGCTGCTGCCCTGCTTTCCGGAAACAGAGCTCTGTTGGGAATGGCCGCTGCTTATACAGGTGTGTCCCCGGAAAGCCCACGGACAGAATCCTGTTTACTCTCTGGTTTCTACTGACAGATCAGAAATGCTTATCTTCTTGGCTGGGTCCTTTCCTGGCATCTGAGCGAGAGACTGCCAGCCTGTGCCCTTGCCTCCGCCGTAAACGCTGTGTGCCGCCAGGAGGGCATGGGGAGCAGAGAGAAAGGAGGGGAGGCCTTGGCCTCTTCACTGCCAATTGCATCATTCTGGCAGGTCACTTGATCTCTCTGAACCTCAGTTTCCTCATCTGTGAGATGGGGCTAATTCAAATCTCACGTCCTGAGGGTTAGGCCCCATCTGTCACGGCGGGACAGGTAAGAGGTGCTCAGCAGGGCTGTCTTCTTGTTTCCCCTCCCTTGGGCGATGAGACTCAGGGGTGAGAAGTGAGGAAGAACCATATTGTTTTATGGTACATTCTGCACTGGGTACTAATGATCACTACCTGTTGTCAATAACCACGCATTCTGTGTCAAGGACGTTTAAGGATGTTGTCTCATCGATTCCTTCCACTACCCCATGATGCAGGCAGGGTTTACTGTTCTCATTTTAGGAGGAACACTGAGGCTTCTTGGATGGGGACAGCCTCAAGTGAGGAGGAAGCGGAGGAGAGGAGAGCGAGGGCCCAGAGGACGCAGGGGTCACAGTGGGAAAGAGCTGGCCCGGGGTCTCCAAGGGATGACCTGCGGTCCTGACGGGGGAAAACTTCAGCCTTCCGAGAGTCCAAAGCCAAGGGAAGGACAGGCGAGCCTGGAAGCCCAACGCCACGGGTTTCTTATTTCTGGGAATGTTTGCGGGGATTAGCCCTTCAACAGGCTCAGAGCGGCTTCCCCTGTGCCCGAGGTGGCTGCATCGCTGAGCGATTATGTAATGACACAGGGTATTAAAGTACAGACTCTGAACCATCATTTTGTAATTCTTTCACTTGAGGAATGAGAAGAGTGTTGTCCTCATCTTACAGATGGAGAAACTAAGGCTTCAGAACACTGAGCGACGGGGAATGAGGCCATAGATATTCTGGCTCCTGACCCTCACTCTTTTGATATCAAAGCTATACCTGTGTTCATTGGGGGTGGGGACAGAAGGGGGCTGACAGCTCCATGCTGGCCTTTCTGGAGGATCAGCTCATGGCTCTTGGCTCTGGGGAGGGTCTAGAAGAAGTGGAGGAGGGGGCAGAGACTCCAATGCACAGAGACTGGGGACCAGAATGCTGGCTGGGGCCAACCTCTGACAAGGGGTTGAGTCCAGAGCCACCTGAAGCCTGAGTTCGTCTGGCTCCGAGCCCCGCTGAGCCCCGCTGAGCCCCGCTGAGCCCCGCTGAGACAGAGTGGGGCCCCCCAGGGGGGGATTGGTATTCTCTGGGCAGGTGGGCTGGGGAGTCAGGCAGACTTGGATTCAAAAGCCAGCGTCTCCCTCCTCCTGTGTCTGACTTAGGCCCTCGGTCTTGCTATGGGTGAGAAGGCCATAAGCAACCTCCTGAAAGCCGAAGGAGGAGGACAGACAGCACAGTGCCGGGCATGCGGCAGGCAGTCGGGGAGCTGCGGCTCCCTTGCCTCTGCCTTCCGGGGCGAACCACCCCCGTGCGCCCTGTGCATGCCTCAGTCTCTCCACCAGCGAAGTTCTGTTGGCTGCTCTCTCTCTGTCGGCCGCCAGGAGCGGGAGAGGATGTGGGGGAAAGTGTGTCGAGAAGTGAATGTCCGTGCTGAGGTCGGGGCACCGGCGGGCATGTGCGCGGATCTTTAAATAGCTGGACATGCCCAGACCCCAACAATCACGTCACCCCTAATCCCCATGCTGGGTGGGCCGCTTGGCATTTTGAGCCAGCCCTTGGCAAAGTTAAGTGGGTAGAGTCTGTCCTTGGTCACAGCCCTCAGGAACCCTACGCCCTTGTGTCCCCCCCCTGCCCCTGCGTTGCTTCTCTTCCAGACTTCTAAGCTCCCAGCCCCACCCCCACACAAAGGCTCCTGTCCAGTGAGGTGGAAGCGGGACCTGGAAGGATGGTCCTGACATTGGAGCGATAGGACACCTATTAGCAATGCAGCTCTCGGGCGGGTACCTCATACCCACTGACTTGGCTTTGTCCGGGAAGACTTCGGGTGCATCTTAGCAAGCGCCCCTGGGTTATTTTATGCACGTTTATTTTTATGATAACTGCTGGGCTAGAAGGTGCCAATGGCTTAATACAGGGATTCTCACCTGTTTTGCTGCCTTCACATTGTTCAATGTGCAACACCTGAAGGTGTGTGAGTCAGACTCTCTAGAGCGCTTTGGCAAAGTCCCAGTAGGGAGTCTGATACATCCTGCTTTGGACATTATGACCTGCTTCCTGGCTGAGAACCACCAGTTAAAGCTTTTCCTTCCAGTAGGCGACAGGCGGTTTAGAGGAAATGACCTTTACCCTGGAGCTTGCTGGATGTCCTTGGCTGGCGCCGCTGGCTGGTGTCGGCATGCTCTGGGAGGAAGGGCCCTCCCCGGCCGGGGCCGAACGTGCACCCCGACTTCCACCCTTTCCCGATGACCGGCAGAGCTTGGCAGCCTGTGCTGGTAGAAACTGCTCTGTTTTAACAGCAATTTCTAACCCATAGGTGGGGCCAATGGAAGATTTCCAAGCACTTGCTGTTTGATGGAGGGGACCCCTGTCCACGCATTTCTTTATGAATCCACATTTTAATATATTTATTGAGCACCTACCCGGTGCCAAGCCCGGTGCTGCATCCTGCAGGGGGCCCAGTGATGAACGAAGCCCCATTTTCCTTTAGATTCTGATGACAAGGGGCCAATCAGGACGCGGCGTGGGGACCATCCACGCTGGCTGATCACTGCCTCCTCCCTGGCCCCGGCCGTGGCCGTGGCCCAGGCAGCGTGGTGGAGCGCCGGCGTGAGCAAGTCAACGTAAAAGGTCGCCGCGTAGCCTGCAGCGGCTGAGAGGCAAACTTGATGTATTAAGTGATATTAAAAATGCAGCTCTTTCTGATAATTTATTATGCACATTCTCATAAACACATTACACTTGTCACAGTACATTTACTAGCACTAGTCCTACCATTGGGAAAAGTTAACTTACCTAATGATGCTATTTTGTAGACAGCAAGTGCTCTTGGAGCAGCTGTGACGAGTTAAATGGCTCCAAGAGATGCTCGTCTTCTTCCCCCTCCCACCCCGCCGCAGTGCCTGTCCGACGGCTTGCAGACGGTAGGTCTGTGAGGCCCTACCTCACCTACCCGTCTGGATTTCCAGGCGAGGAAACCGAGGCCTATGGAGATGGAGGACCTGGCCTGAGGCCGCACCAGGCAGACCGGGACTCGCACTCAGGCGCTGAGGGCAGGGACTACGGCTCTCTCCCCGACAATGCAAGCCATGCTGGGGGGCTGCAATGCAAGGAGGTCAGGGGAGGGGCTCCCCTGCCAGAAGGGCTTAGCCCAGGACCAGGCTCCCTCCGATGGGAGGTCGGATGCCAGGGAGGCATCATGCTGAATGCTTAGGGGAAGCTCCAGAAATAACCTGATGGAGGACAGGGGTGTCTCCTGAAGCTTAGGTGACATCATGGATGAGGCACTGTCTTGTTCAAGTGTCTTTGTAATGGGAGCGAACATCCCAGCATTATGCATAGGTTAGGATGAGTAGGAGCTCTAATTGGCAATTTAAAAAAAGTTTTATTTTTAGAGAGAGGGGAAAGGAGGGAGAAAGAAAGGGAGAGAAACATCAATGTGTGGTTGCATCTCACATACCCCCAACTGGGGACCTGGCCCACAACCCAGGCCAGTCCCCTGACTGGGAATTGAACAGGCGACCTTGCAGTTCGCAGGCCAGTCCTCAATCCACTGAGCCACACCAGTCAGGGATCTAAGTGGTAACTCGAAACCCAGGGCCAACAGCCATAAATATTCCCTCAAACAGCTTTGAATTACTGAAGCAATTCAGAGCAAATGGTGACCTGTAATTTTAACTCATTTTACTTTTTTCTTTAAAAAGATTTTATTTATTTATTTTTAGAGAGAGGAGAAA